TATATTTTCTATATATATATATATTAATACTTAGCTTAAAATTGTCATGACACACTTTTCCATCACAAAAGAAAGAAAAAAACAGTAATAGAAACAGTTATATGGGGAATCAACAAAATATTTTAACAAGTGGACAAAGTCCTATAGTTACATTATAATTTTATAATTTGTTCCAAATGATAATTTGAAAACATTAGTATTATTTTAGAATAAAATTAAGATAGTTTATGAGTATGTTAGAAGTGGAGTGATGACATCATATCAGAAGAAAGAACAAAACATTTTTGTTATAGATAAAAAATAATAAAATACAAAATTATTTGTAAAATGGGGTCTATTTCTGTAAGTAAAAGTAAACATACATTAATATGAATGTATTTTACATTTTAATTTAACATTAGTCACCTGCACATTTTTAAAATTTAACAATAAATATATAGTTATAAATAACATTGTATTTTGATTTTAAAATGCATTTTAAAAATCTAATGATATAAATTTTATATTTTTATGACAGAAGTGGCCAGATGAAGCTTTAGAGCTTGTTGCAATTCGTTCATTTAAAAATTTAGAGGTATCTCCAAAATTAAAATTTAATATTACAGAAGTATGTAAAGATTTTCATAAAAGTGCTGAAGAACTATCTATTAGGTGAGCAAAAGAAAATTTTTATGACAGAAGTGGCCAGATGAAGCTTTAGAGCTTGTTGCAATTCGTTCATTTAAAAATTTAGAGGTATCTCCAAAATTAAAATTTAATATTACAGAAGTATGTAAAGATTTTCATAAAAGTGCTGAAGAACTATCTATTAGGTGAGCAAAAGAAAATTTTAATGCAAATTTTGTATAAATGAAAATTAAGGGATTGTAAGAAATCAGCTTTCAGGGTGAATCAGTTAATTCCGTGTCAGTGATGATCTAGGGTTCATTTGTATGTGGGTGGTGGTGGCGGAGACAAAGATGACAAGTGTCTAACAAAAACCATTTATTTTAACATAAGAGTAACTTACACTATGAACAAAATGGTTTGCTTTAAAACAATCGGCTGTTCAGACATCCTGGGCATTGATGTTGTTTTCTTGATTTTTGATCAAAAGTGGCCTCAGGGCAGTGGCATTGACAAGTCCATATTGCAAGTGGGGCGGTTCCATCGGTTGGCATTGGTGACACAGTCTAAGTCTGAAGTGGCACGGGTTATGAGTTGGGTACAATAGACAAAAACTGCTTTTTTTTGCATTGACACATGGCATATTGGTTATTTGGAACATTAACTAACTGAGTGCAATGACTTACCAAGTGCAACGTGTCCTTGATTGTCAGGGATTATATGAATATCCATTTTTTCTTTTGTCCATTCTGATTGGTCATTTTCCCTCAATCATGGTTTTCAAGTGGCTGGTCCCTCATTACTAAGTATACCTAGAGCACCTAGAGCACGAGAAAGGTCAAAATTGAAGCTGAATTCATTCTATCACTGATCAAAGGATAATTTTCCTTCTATGATTTATGATTTCTGTGTCACAGTTTGTTATAAACAAAAGATGTTGGACTACAACCATTTTTTCTAACCTTTTTAAAACAATTACATTTTTTCTTTAAATCAGCTGTTATTCTGCACTTTTCATGACAGTTTGGATCTGTCTGGGACCTCACAGGATTTAAAGATATTAATAATAATTAAGTAAAGTAGAAATTATTTCAATCATTTTTTTAAATCATTATTTCTTAATGATTAAAAAAGAAAGAAATAATTATGAATAATTTACATACACTTGTTTTAATGAAAGATGAACATGGATTGTATTAGAATGCACAGATTGTAAGTGTTATTTCTGTTGTCACAAATGTTGTTAGGATTTCTTTGAATACTATTTTTTGTTGAAAAACAGCTAATTTTGTTTTAAATGTACTGCAAAAAAACTTCAGTTGTAGATCATTGTCTCATGATGATATACAAGAATAGAGAAGGATTCAAACAGAATTAGAAGACAATTTGAAAAAATTCCTGTAAAGAATATTCTTTCTATAAAGATTATAACAATAATACTTTCTTCTCAGAAAGATGCATTAGTGATTTGCAGTCAAACTTTAAATAAATATATGTTTATTGTTTTTTATGCAAATAATTTTATAAATCTGTATAAAGAACTTGCTTTAGTAGATTAGTTGTACTTCATACAAAAACAGGAATAGATAATAACATTTGAATTTGTTGCCTGAATTTACTTTAGAATACAATTATTTCAGTTAAAAATTACAATTTGCTTGAAATATACAAATATGCAATAAACATCTACAACAATTCTGTTATCAAATTATTTATCCAAAAAAAATTTTTTGTGTGTTTATATGTTTTATGTGTATCTTTATTATCCTACTGTTTTTGGGTTCATGCAATTTTTAGGTTGGTTAATAGTCAACAACAACAAAAAGTAACATATTTAATGAATGCTTGCTTTTTGTGAATATTTTTCAATTAACATTATTTAACAGATTATCTTTTTGCATGAATTATAATACAGTGACCTCTCAGTTATACAACTCTAAAGGGACCAATGAAAAAAGTTGTGTAAGTGAGAGAGTTGTACAAAAGAGAAATTCACTAATTTGAATGGAAAATGTTAAAAATATAACTGTAATCTTTTCAATATTGATTACCACAGTTAAAAGCATTATTTCTTTTAAATTCAAAATACAAAGTTAAATCTGGCAACGTTGCTACCTATGTCACCCCAAAATTAATGTCCATAACCAAGTTTTGCAGCAAAAGTGGGTATGTGGAGCTGAAGTACAGTACTGTATTTTTATGTTAAATTCTCAATGGGGCAGAAACTGGAAGTACATACGTTGATTTTGGAAATATTGTTGATTACAGCCGAACCCCCATAACACGGTAGATATGTTCCAGTTTTTATGAATCCATTTTCTATGAGTCCAGCCAATCATAGCTCGGCACGTATGCAGTTTATGGACTATGGCTGTTTGAAAGGTTTCTTCCATAAAATTAATTGATTCTAGACTAATTCGACTCAACATTTCCAAAATATGTATAATTTTTTGGGAATAATCCACATAAACTATGGTATAAACAAAAAATTGTAGGATTACCTACCGAGTGTGCACCGTTCGACTACGCCATTGCTTAAGCTTGTTTTCGTTGTGGAGCATGTCATCAAATGGTGCTTGCATGCTTCCTGATAAATTATTTTTTTGTGAAAAATTCGCTGAACTTTGGAGACATCATTAATATAAATATAATTTTTATGGACGTTAAATAATAAATGGTTTTTAGTAGGTCCGCTGCTCGTTTAAACTCAACGGTTTGTGTAATATCCACTATTGATCTAGATTTGACTAATCCTGTCGCGACGCGAGTCAACGATGACATTTTACCAAATTATAGGAGGTTTTTTTAGCATGTTTGTATGAATACTGTCGCAATTATTTCACCATAATTTAGGAATCTGAACTATAGGAACCCGTGTTATAGGGGGGTCGACTGATAGTTAAATAGAATACATGTCAAGGAAGGTCATTTTATCAAAATTTGAAAAATATGCATGTAAATAATCATGACCTGACACAAAATTCATACCAAAGTTGTTAGTTAATACATACCTGGCAGCAGCTTTAGGGAAATTCAACAATAGTCTGGATGTACAGTACATGACAATGTTCACTAAAGGGTTTTAATGTTACCACTTGTTTTATCTAAACATATAGCCTGCAGCCACTCTCTTTCTAAAAGCAGATATTACGTCCAGTATAATAATTCTCTGTGCTTTTTTTATCTTCCTGGTTACCGGTTTGACCTGTGGCAAAATGACCCCACTCTGCTCATGTGATTGACAATCGCTATGGTAAAATGAGGGAAACATACATAGTCTGAAACAGTTGTAGGGGTGTAGAACAGAGTTGTTTAACAGAGTCATTCAAATGAGAGATTTTAGATGATATCAACCATAGGCTTCATCCAGGATCAATGAAAAACATCTCATAACTGAGAATTGCTTAAATGAGAGCTGTATAAGTGAGATGTCACTATATATTTTTGATTTTTATTTTTATTAAAATATATTTTTTTATTTATTATTAGACAGTATTGTAAATTAATATTAAATGAATATTTTTCAGTTTGTATTTTCAATTTTGTTTCATATTCTATTTCTTTAAAAATATATTTTGTGTTCTAATAAATAGGTATATGAATGAAATGGGGAGATATTGCTATGTTACACCATCATCTTATTTGAATTTGATTGCATTGTTTAAAAGTTTATTAGACGAAAGACAAATAGACATTGCAAGTACAAGAGATCGCTATAAAGGAGGGCTAGAAAAACTTGATTTTGCTTCTCAACAAATCAGTCAAATGCAAATTGCTTTAGAGGAATTAAAACCACAACTAGTAATATCAGCAGAAAATACTGAAAAGATGTTAGCTGTAAGTAATATATAATTTTTTAAACATCATAATATTACAATACTTTTATAATTTATTATTTTTGCCATTTATTTGCATAATATAAAACAAATTATTAACAACAAACTATTGATGATAAAAGAAAGAGTTAAAGCTAAATGTATACATTGTGTAACTAGATATTCACTATATACTTAGTTAATATTTATAATTAACATGACAGTAATGAATATTTTGATTGCTTGATAAGTAGATCTTGTTATTTGGAGATTTTTTGGTAATCTCATATTTTAGATAACATATATCTCTTAGAAACTATAATAATTATAGAATTTTTAATATATTTAATTCTACTTTTAAGTTAAAATATGATAAAATTAACTTCACAAATAATAAACTGAAACTGCATACAAGTGAAATATCTTTCTTGTGAAACAAAAAAACAAAGTTTTCAGTTTAAAATATCCAAAATAATGATATTTCTCATAATTACTTTAAACAATTATTTAATATTGTATGGTATCAAATGTAGAATAAAAAATACCAAAAAAATATTTTAATTCTTTTCATTTGTCATAAAACTTGCGGCATTTTCTTCTTTACACTATAAAGACCAGTGGTTGACTTGCAAATATAGTTTATATTTTTGAAAAAGTTTAACATATTGAATCATTCATGTAAGATTTTTTTGATGTATCTAAAAGCATGTTTAAAAATTATGATCTTTTTAATTTTAATACTCTTATTATTGCTTTTAAAATGTTATTCTATTTTTAATTTGTATTCATTTATCTGTTATTCTGTTTTCATTTTGAGCTAGGAATAATAAAGATTTTAACCAATTGATTTTGTATGTAGAAAGATTTTATGTAATCTTGATATATTTTGTATTATATGTATATATAAGATTATATTGTAATGTTTGTTGCAAAATGTACGTAGATCAACAAATGAAAGATGTAACAACAACTAAGCAACAGTATGGTCAAACAAAGTATTTTACTCAGCATATATAAACAGGTTTTTTTGTATTCTAACTCTGCAGTAAATTCTTTTGACAAGGTGTCAAACAATAATCCAGTGTACAATGACAAATATACCATTCACAACAAGTATACAGTAATTGAAAACTATAACTAATACTTATGTGCTAACTTAAAATTAAAAGAAAAAAAAAATGGTAGAAAAAAGAAGATAGCATAGAATAAGGAGTGAAATATCTGGGGTTTTGCTGGACTTCATGATTTTGGAGTGGGATACTACGTTGAACTTTTTCTGAAAAGTCTCTCGTCATTGTCTTTGCTGATTTCTTCCTGGCACCTTGTTACTACACCTTTTCTTTTTATCATAACCACGATAAAATTCCAGTTCTCAAACTCTCTCAAATTCTTCAGTCGTTGCCATTCATGACCTGGAGCACCACACCCAAAGTCTGTCCACCACAAGGTCTTTCTCCTCTTTCCCCAGCCTCAGGGCCTCATTCTTCTCTTTGTTCTCAGTGATTCCCAGAATTGGTAATCCCACCCAAGGGAAAAGAGTTATAAAGGAAAGTTTTAAAAAGAAGAAGAAACAAAGAACAAAGAGAACTAAAACTAACTTAAATTAATATTTACAATAAATATGGCATACGGTCACAATATATTCATATCATTCTTAATCAGCTCTATGTATACAGGGTGACAACAATGTAAAATATATATATTTCAAAGATTTGGATTGAATACAAAAATAACAATGAATACTTATATAAGAAACAGTGTTAACAATTGTTACTCAATTTCCATAAGCCTTGATACATAGAAAATGCTTTATAAAATTGTTACAGATGGCTTGCACCTTCACAACAGATATTTTGATTTCATACACTGATTAGGGAAGCCTGCAGGGAATTTAAGTTTTAGTAGGAATATTTTTCTGGTGAAGAGATATGAAAGTCTGATGCTTTTATATTAAAAACAGCATATTTAAATTTTACGTTTATATTATTCAAATATTTCCTGTGAAAATAAAAATAAAAAACCCAGGACAAATGTTTTAGTTAACAATTACAAAATTGAAGAATTTTTTTACTGTTAGATCAGATTACTTTTAATTTTAAGTGGTGTGTTCTGTTCAGTTTTATGTTTCTTCAGTTGTTTTGTTTATTGAAGATGGGAAACTTAAACGTTTGTATTAATTGTATGAATGTAATAATCTAATCATAGCATTTGTGATGATTTGCATGAAAGTAGCTAGATGTATAACTTATACATCTTCAATAAATGTTTCTTCAAAGATATAATTAAACTATATATTAAAAGCAATATTCTATTGCTTGCATTTTTATTTGGTAACAATTTTCTGTTTCAGCATATCTCACATTTGTAATCCTTATTTATGTATATTAATTTTGGATTATTTGAACTTTTAGACAATTGAGAAAGAATCTTCTGCAGTTGCACAGACAAGAGAAATTGTTAGCAATGAAGAAACCACAGCTAACAATCAAGCTATTGCTGCACAAAATTTGAAGGATGAATGTGAATCAGATTTGAAAGAAGCTATCCCAGCTCTTGAAGCTGCTCTTGCTGCTTTGGATACAGTTAAAGTAAATATACAATATTAATTTCTGTTATTCAATTTTCTCAGTGTATTTTTGTTAAATTTTTTTATAGTGAAAATTATAACAGAAGTACAAGTTGGTATGAAATAATTTCTATATTGCTTTATAACAATGAATAAAATTACTTTTCTGTAATTATAAATTGCATAATGATATTTTTGAATATATCTTTCTGCTTGATTTTATCTATAGCATCATCTTTTTTTCAAATAAGAATAAAAAAATAGAATGATGATTTTCTGATTTATTAGAAAATTTCAGCTTTTATAATCATAAACATTATAATTATAATTATGGTAATATTGTAATATTTCAATAAATCAGTATTTTCAGTTGTTTATAAAATCGTACTTCCTCATGTTCTTATCAGCATAGAGGTATGAAGGAGTACATGTAGAGAGTTGATATTTGGCACAGAGTATTAGGTGCCCAAATCATTTGAGCATAAAAAATCCAGACTCGTAGGTAGTCAGGGGACCGAGAATCGAGTCAAAATAAAATCCAAAATGGCAACCCTCTTCTACAAACAGGCAAAACAGCCACCTCACCCCACCGAAGTCAGGTAGGGGAGAGTACCACCTGCAGTCATTCTAAGAAGTGAACTCTGACCTTAGGACTGAGAGTGCCTGCGTGTGACCTTTGTCCTTTGACCTCACTTTGCTCCTAAACTCTAACGAGGAGAGACATCTTTTTACTATCTTTCGATTTGACAGCCATGCCGATCTTGGATTTATATTATATATCAACGCTGTTGTAAATATCACTCTGCTGATACAAATTAAGTAAATTATCAGTTTTTTTAGTAAATTTTTAATGACGAACAAAAAACACAGAACATGTGGTTGAGGTCAACATGGACATTAGGGACAAGGTAGGAGAGACATTTTTTCACTTCACATTAATTGACCTTTCAAGTCGACAGCCGTGCGATCTTGGATTTATATTATATATCGACACTATTGTAAATATCACGCTGCCGATACAAATTAAGTAAATTATCAGTTTCTTAGTAAATTTTTACTGACAGAACATTCACCGAAAATGGCTCTTGGATGATCTCATGGTCAAGGCAGGCGAAGTTATAACTATCATACCCAAAAGCAGCGATATCAAAGAAGATAGGAGAATGAGACCTGCCTTGAGCATCAAAGTGATTCCGTCTCCGAGACATAGTCTTGTCCCAAATGCGGTTTTGCCGTTTTACTTGTTAAATTTTCTTTCGTTCTATGTGCACTAAGAAGGCTTTTTCTTCATCATGGATCTGATTAACTTATAATTATGTATGATCAGGGTTTGTGAGAGGAAAGGAGTGCTGGGTACTTTTTTTAGGCCCAGAGAAAACTTAGAAGTTCATAGTTATTCCTACCTCTATAAAATTAATGCTATTTTTATTAACAGAAAATAAAATTTTTAAGACTGCTTTTTATTAAAAGTGAAATAGTTTATGCATTTCATTTGTTCAAAAAATTAAAGACTAAAGACATATAAGCTTTTGATAGCTCTGTATATGATTTATTGTTTGAGCACTATATCAGCATAAATGATTTAAACTGATATAGTGATGATATAGATGCATAACAGCTGAAATTGTTACAATTAGTACATTAGCAGTAAATCACATACATTTATTTCATATTATCCTTTCATTTTATTATTGAATAAATATGCTAGATTACAATTATGCATGCTAATTTGTTTAAAAATGAACAGTTGTATAAATATATTTATATTGAATATATATATAAAGTATAATCAAATGAAATGTATAAATTTGAGGAATAAACTTGGCAATGCCATTAGCCAACCATATTTGTTACTTTTGTCTATTGCATCATAAGAAACACTGCTAGGGTATTCCAATAAATGTTGATATTTAACTATGATACTTGTTTGGAGAGCGAGAGCTTCAGTTTGTTTTTATCTCCTTGGTTATTGTCTGCTTGGACAGTTTAGAGTGCAGTACTTGAAAAAGATTTTTAAGTGAATGTAAACTGTTGTGTATTCTCATCTAAGAAGTTAGCAAACACTTAAATCTTAAATTTATTTACTACAGACTTTAAGAAAAATATTTTAATGTCTAAATAAATAAATAAATAAATATACTTATCATTATTGTGACAAATATGATGAGTGAGTCATGTTCATTGACTTGGCATTTTCAAATCTTCTCAATAAATACTTCATTTGATCTCTTAGTATAAGTTGATAACTGAATCTAAATTACACTCTAAATTTTAGTCTTTTTTTTTATTTATTTCAGGTCAATGTAGTCAAAATTTCATTAACATAAACATTCATCTAACTGGAAATTAAATTGAATATTACGTTATTTAGAAAAATGAAGTCAGTAATAAGTAAAGATAGGTCTTAAAAATGTGTAATCTTTTGAATTAACAGTATTCATTTAAAAGAAACAGATTAATTTGAATATTTTATAAATCAAAATAAATGTCTTTTCTGTAACAGTTAATACATAACAGATGTCAAAAGCAAAATTAATCTAATAAAAGTAAATTTTTTAATTTAATAGTATTGATAACATTCTGTTTAAATTGAATAAATGTAATAATTGAAATTATAATTGGAATTATAAAATATTTTAATTTTAATTAATTATTTTTAGCCAGCTGATATTAGTTTGTTGAAGTCGATGAAAAATCCACCCATAGCAGTAAAATTAGTTATGGCTGCTGTTTGTGTAATGAAAAATATCAAACCTGTTAAAATAAATGATCCTAGACAAGTTGGTAAAAAGGTAATAATTTTTTAAAGATTTTAATCAAATAAAAATTCTTTAAAATTATATAATTTTTCAATTTTTTTAATATAAATAAAAATTATCAAACTGAAATATTTTTAATCAAGTACATTTGTTATCTTAAGATCCATTGTTATTGATTCTATAATGTTATGGCTTGACCTGACTTACTTTTGCTTATGTATTGACCTGTTTCTGAGCAGAAAGAAAGCAAGAATTTTGGGAAGGCAAAAAGGGGATAAAAGAGATGTCTCGCATAACACTTTACTCCTATTTCCCTGTGGAAAGACAAAAAGAACAAAGGATAGGACCGCACACACCGGAAGAGACCCACCCCCTCGAAACCGACACCCGATCCTAGAGAATAATATACACTCCGTCCGGGGAATTCTTTCAGTTGACCTGAAGAAGAGCGATTGGAACGCTCGAAAACGTTTGTCAGGATATTTTAACATATACGCACAGAGCACCGGTCACAGGTTCCGTAGTGTGACGTCAAAGGATAGGACTTTCTCTTTGTAAAAATTCACCAAAATCAATCTACAGACTTGAACCTGTGTCTTATCAAATGTTATCTTAATTCTATATTTAAAATTTTTAAAATTAAAACATCAGTAAATAATTGAAAATCTATAGACTGATCTTGATTTCAAACATAAAGACATAAGTTAACAATTACAGATGATTTTGTAGAGAAATTAGGTTTAGTTGTTCTCTAATGATGAATTTAGTTTCCTGAAAGTGCTAGAGAAATATCACTTAATTTAAATCTGTGAATTCCAATAAAGCAGAAGCCTTTGGTGGTCAAAATCCAACTTTTTGCATCACTTTGCAACACTCTCCTTCTCTGGGTTGTATTTTATTATTTTCTTTATAAACATTATTAGTTTTATTATATATTAATTAAATAATTGTAAATTATAAAAAAATTTAACAAAGAATTATTGATGATAAGACAAAAGAATAAGCAATTTAAAATAATAGAAGAAAATTAATACCATAATTATAAAATTAAAAAAAAAAAAATAGATAAATGACAATTAATCACCTGCATGGATATTGTGTATATTTGTGAGACATCAAGTATTGAACTCTAACAATTTCAGCGGTTAAAACATTTGACTATTTTGATAGTTTGGATGTTTTTTATGCATTTGAAATTCACCTTCAATTAACAACATCGTTTAACTTTTCTGTAAAATGTCTGCTTATACTCAAGCATTTCATGTCAGTGAATCAGTGAGCCAATGAAGCTTTATAACATTAGTTATAGAAACAGATGTTTTCAAAAAAGAAATTTTGTTTAAATTTACATTTTATATTTTAATTAAATGTTTAAATGTTTCATGTTTAATGTTTCTTATAGTAATTATATTATAACAAGAACAATTTTAGTATTTTCCTAACTTTTTTGATAGCTTATATTTTACTAATATAAATAGACTATTTTAAAGAAATTATATATCATAGCTCTATAAAATAAATATAATTAAATAAACATTTAAAATAATAATGTGATAAAATAATTAACTTTTTTCTCTCAAAGATACTTGATTATTGGGGACCTTCAATGAAAGCTTTAAGTGATTTAAATTTTTTCAAGAATCTGAAGACATATGATAAAGATAACATTCCAGTAAGTTAATGTTAAAAAACTTAATGAAAATTTAAAACATTTATACTTGTACTTTCTGAATTAAAGTTGTATTAAATTTATATGATATATATTCATGTTCATATCTTTTATTTAATGATAACATACTCTACTTATCATGTTTTCACTTATAAATATTTGTTCTTAATGTACATAATTATCATGAGAAGAAAGGGATTGTGTCCTTTAATTTTTCTATTGATGATTAATAGAACACAAGCCAAAACAAAATAAGCACTTTTACATAAAACCCACCGTTAATAGAGAAAAATTGAGATTACAGTGATTGGCATATGAGCACAGATTCCGGTTATGGAGACAGAGTACTAATTAGTTCCACAGTCTTCAATGGAGTAACATGTAACAATTAATTACCAATACTGTAGCTAGCTAATCTTTGTAGCAGTTGAGGACCAAATTTTAGGGTAAACACATCCTAGATTGAGATCCAGAGCAAACATTTCCTGACAAGAGAAATGAAAAATTCTATGGCCATAGATACAATAAATCCAGTGCTGGATTGTGGATTGTTTAGTAATAAAAAATCAGGACTTCTAGAAAAGTATGTAGGGAAGGAAGCTTGGCCACATTACTCCATGCTGGTGGTGAGATGAGACGGTGGGTCTGATGATGGGAGAAAATTGATCTATAATAAAATAATATGTTTGAAAACTTGGTTTATATTTTTATATTTTTACCTTAAGTTTTGAGTCAGTGGGAAATTTTTTCCAGTTCAGTCCACAGGTGAGCTTATTAACTCTTTCCGTTAAGACATACAGTGATTGCATTGTCTAAGAGAGCTTTCACCATTACACTTCTTCCTTGAAAATATAGTAGCTCTTACCACATCTATACAGGGGCAAAAAACAGTTGCATCAATGTCCTCAGAATCACTCCAAAGAGAGAGCTCTTCAAAGGTCCTGTCTTAAAATTTATGACATGATCAATGTGTAGTCCTAATACAGTGACAGCTTTTAGGCCAAACTTTTGAAATCTCCCATATTTCAGTTTGCCAACCAATAATGTGGCTTAATACAGAAAAAAAGCCTAAAAATAAGGGATTAGATATGACAAAGTAATTGAATGGGATGAATTTGAATATCAAATTCTTTGTACTATTTTGAATAAGCCATAAATTATATAATTCATAGTATAAATTATTTATTTTGTAGAAAATTTTAAAATATATAATTTTATAAAAGTAATTTCATGTAAATTATTTTTATAAAATTATCATGTAGCTATAAATTATTATTTTTAATATAGTAATATCAAAATAAAAACTAAAGCTTTGTTTTAATTAAAATTTATGTAATTTGAAATATAAGTTATTTTTAATATATTTTGTTTTTTAAAAGTCTGATGTAATGACAAGAATAAGGAAAGAATATATAGGAGCTCCTGAATTTAAACCAAAAATAGTTGCTAGAGCATCACCTGCAGCAGAAGGTCTTTGCAAATGGGTCTTAGCAATGGAGTTATATGATAGAGTTGCAAAAGTATATATATTTTTATTAAAACCATATTTTTGAAAAGTAAAGAAATTGTTGTTATTATTTTATTTATGTTTTGTTTTTTTATATTTAATGTATTATAAATTACAATTTACCAGATGATCAAACAAAAAAAAAAACGATTATTTGCAAAGTGTAGGCTTGTGATGTTATGAGCTTGCCATATTTATTACTGCCTTGCTGCTACACATTATGAGAAATACTTAAATATATATATATATATATATTTAATTTAATATATAACATTTTTAACTCTAAATATATAAATATTTGTGCACAACTCTTACTTTATAAGACTAAAATTTTATTTTACTTTCTCTCTGTTATATATAACAGAGAGAAAGTATGGCAATTGGTAAAAAAAATGACGCCTCCTAAGATTTTTATATTTTCGGACTCAGAATCTTGAAACATTGAGAAATTCAAAACAATTCAGGGGTTTAATAAAAATACGTTAGCTGGGACATAAATATACTTTAAAAAAATTCACAAAAGAATTATTCTTTGGACATAACTGTATAAGTGTCTTTCATTTGTTGTCCCTTCATACGCCATTAAGATTAACAATTTTACTGACAAAGATGACCTATCTTTATAGAAGCTACCATTCCCCACCTCAATGTGTAAAACATTAAAAAAAATTTTCCCTGGAATGGCTTGCAGGTTTAAAAGAATATAATACATTTAATAAAAATATATTAGCCAAGACATAAATAATTATATTTTAATTAAATGTATTATATTTTTAAAATGTGCAAGCTGCCACCAGAGGGAATTTTATTAATGTTTTACATATCTAGGTGGGGAATAGTAGCCTCTAAAGATAGGTCATCTCCGCCAGTGAAATTGTTAATCTTAATGACATACGAAGGGACAACAGATGAAGGACACTTATACAGTTATGTCCAAAGAAGAATTTCTATTGTGGATTTTTTTAAATTCAGGATATTTTTTTCCTGTATGTATGGATGTTAGTATAGGTGTGTGTGTCTGTGTTTGGGGCACGATTTTGTTCACCCTTTTGTGAAGGTTAATAACTTCTTTTCTTTTTGTTGAAATTTATGAAATTTTGCAGAAAGGATTTTGTATTAGGATGATTGATGCTATTAATTTTGGTAGTTAAATTAAAGGTTGAGGGAATGGAAGATAAATAGATAAATAGTAATCCTGTGTCATATCTGAAGTAGGGCTAGACTTAATGATGATTTTACTCATTATTAGCATTTACAGTTTTTTTATAAAACATATCCCTACTCTCAAAATTAAGCTTTTTGCCATTTCATAATAATTAAAAATATAAAAGTTTTTAATAAAATATCTTAACAGATGGCACTCCACACACACAGTTTTAAACATTGTCAGGAAAGTTATGCACCTTGTTGCTGGATTTTTTACAACTGTGTGAACAGAATCATAACATAATCCTGTTTCTTGAGGTGTAAATGCCGTAAAGATTTTGTAATGTTTACTTCTAAGTGTGTCTGAAGATCTTGAAGTCTTTCTCGAGATAATTTTTGTTACATACAGACTCAATGGACTGTTTCTTATTTAAAAAGTAAAATAACTGTAGTAGGCCTAAATGACTTAAGATATTATCATATAAACTATTGCTTTAATTTTTGGTAACATTTCTTTAACTTTCCACAGTACTAACTGTTCTATAACATAAGATATTTCCAGTTATCACAACACTTATGACCTAACAATAATAAGCTAACATCACATCTGAGAATCTGTAAGGTGTGATGAGTTATTCAGGTGCCACTGATTCTCATCATCACTAAGCCTACTCTTCACTTCCTCATCTTTTTATTTGTTCATCTAGTGATTTAAAAATTTAAAATGGTTATACCTGTTAATTTTAACACTTAAGTTATTCTCTTTTTTCAATAGTCTACAAACTTAAGAAATGTAAATCTGTGTAGTAATAATAATTTTGTTTTCTGTTTTAACCATGCAGTTTGTAGCTCCTAAACGAGAAAAACTTAAAGAAGCTGAAAGGTCTTTAAATGATACGCTTGAAATATTAAAACAGAAACATTCTGAATTAAAACAAGTTGAGAAAAAGCTAGAAAAACTTCAAGCTGAACTTGAAGATATGACAAATCAGAAAACAGCTTTAGAATCAGAAGTTGAAAGATGTTCCAATCAATTAATGAGAGCCAAGAAGATGATTAGTGGATTGGGTGGAGAACGTGAAAGGTAAAGTTGAGATTGTATCAATTATATTGGCATATAACCATACACTACTAACTATAAAACTGTAATTTTCAGAAAATAGGATTTAAAAATAAAACATTATTTTTGATGGGAAACCTTTAATTGCCCATGAAAAATATGCTATTTTATAGAACTCTGGAATTTTTCATTTCTACTTACTGTCCCAAATAGAACATATTGAATATAACAGGAATACTATGTTACAGAGAAAACTGCAAAATTTAGATTTATTCACATATAGTTCTTCATCCACAATAATTATAATTTACTTCAAATTGACATTATTGTATAAGTTTTCAAATAATGGGAAATTTTCATTTTAAAATTAATGAATAACTGTAGAACCATTAGAATAATTACCATACTCTGAATATTAGAAGAAAAGGTAAAAAAATTTGATATTTTTTTTTTTTTTATATATTCAGTAATGTTAGTGACTAGTTACATTTGTTTTGAACATATAGTTTTATATTAATAATTAAATTATTTTGGTTATTGCTTAAACTTCATCATTGATCTTTAAATTGTTTCATAAGATGAACCAGAATCTTTATTTTTAACTCTAACAATTCCTTGTAAAACAAATTAGAAGATTATAAAAATTATTAGGATAAGCAACTTCATGTGCACTTTATCATCTTAATTGTCACATGATTAATAATTATCTGCCTATTGATTATCACATCAGTATTAATGCAAAAAATTAAATATTATCAATAATAAATCTTCTATTTTAAAGTGGAATTTTTTATGAATTATATTTAACAAACACACCTTTACATACATTTCCAGCACTTTTTTATACTTGTAATGAACCTTTTTGGCTTGATTTACAAGCTTTCTTCAGATTAGAACCCATTTCAATTAGAAAGAGTTATACTGTGTTCGAAAATGGAATGAGCCAAAGTTTCTTTGAGGTTACAGTATTCAAATTTCTTATGATGTAACTTGAGATTTATAAATTTAAATAAAATTATTCATTGAAAGGTAAAATAACCTATAATAAATATTAAGCACATGGAGGTGATTATTAAAAAAGTATTGATTTAAGCACATTTAGATAAAAATGCTTGTCCAGCTTGCAATATGCTGAAGCTTTCTCTGTTGTTAGTGCAAAGCCCTTGACTTGCTGCTTTATAGATATTGATGGTGATGTCGTTTTGAACACCATATAGTGTTCAAAATGACAAAAATAAGTGAATTTATTCAATTTTTAGTTGATCAATTGAATAAATTTAAAATGAAGGTTGCCTAGTGTTCATGTATTTACACTTTATGGTGTTGAAAATGACAAAAATAATCATTTACATGGTTTCAAGAATGTAAAGAAAAGGTTTCACTTATTCTTAATTTTTGTATATCAAATATTTATTTTAATAATTTTCCATCTTTCTAACATGGGGACACACTGTGCTTGCTTACATACTGAGCTAAGGCAGTGTTTTAACTTTCTTTATGGATGTCATATTTATACTTTTTTATTCTGGCCTCGGTCGATCTGTTAGTTGAGCCTATATAAGTTAGGCATCTGCTGAATCTAGAATCTTCTAGAGGTATGGTGTACACTCCAGGGGCTCTTTTCTCATTTATTTGATCTTTTCCATTGGTTAAAAATCTGAATATAGTTGGATTTCTTTTATGTTATATCTATTTGTATGTCTTTTGCTATGCTAGAATAAACTTTGCATAATCTGGAGTCAAATTCAACTGTTACAAATTTGAAATCAGATTTTTATTGTTCTGATTTCTTATCTGACTTGTATTTTAAATTTCTAGCCAATTCAGTGATTAGTTTATTACAGTAGCCATGTTTTATTGCTAGCTTTTTAATAGATTAAATCTCTTGCCATGCATCTTTTCTAGCAAAAACAATGTGTGTAAGCTATTTGTATCAATAAAAGCACTTTAAAATCTAATGTAGTAATTTTAATATAATTATTTACATTTTGAATAAAAACTATTTTATCAAACTTGATAAAATGGTGATTCACTATAAATATTGTTTTTACAAATTAATATTAAGGCTAGTGCATTAATAAAAGTTAATAACTTTATTTATACACAAAATAAAACTTGCTTTGCTTATATAAATAGGTAAAAATATACAATAATGTCCATGAAAATTGCATCGTTTATGATATACAGTGTCCCATAAGTCTATATCCATAGGAGTTATGTTGATCTTTGTTTATTCCTTTACAGAACAGAAATTGCTGAAGAGTTTAATGTGAGATAAACCGCGGGTCAGGGATCAATCTCCCACTGACCACTTACTCAGCAACAGGTTGATAAAACCCGATCTCGGTGTCGTTGGATGGCTAGGAGGGCAGTTCGAGTGGGGAGGGAGGTGAGCAAGTTGGTAGGCATCCTTAAATGACAGGAAACAGGTTTAAAACTAAACAAGCATTTATTATATACTCAACTAAGCACTACAAGAGGTTAAAAGCGGTTATCTCTACTATTTACATAAATTTGAGCACGAATTTTCGAGTTTGAGAGAGAGCGCTTACAAATCCTATATACCCCAAAATACCTGTCGGTGGCAGGGCGAATTGGCGAACGTTCAGGGTGTGGTGTCTTCCGTGTCTTCTATTCGAGGTCCTCTCTCTATAGATGGATCGGGTCCGCTGAAATGGAGGCTCGGGAGTTTTGGTGACACTATTACTAAGTACAACTTCCTATGACGAATCACCCTGAGGTTACAGAGATTCGAGCTTTTATACTTTTTCGTGCGAGAGCTGACACGTCATCGATTCTTGTTGACGATGACGGTGCATTTTTCACACCTAACTGTAAACTTCCTCAGCGAGTTGTGATACAATCGGTGAAATCCAATCTAGTACAAAATCTTCGGGTTTTTTCCGAAGTTAATTAACAAGAAAATTTAAATTTTTAAAAGACCCGCAAAAATCCGTGGGCTCACATCAACAAGTTTCATCATCCAGACTTTTCATCAATCATACATAGCAATCTGGATGCAGCTTGTTAAACTTTGGAAACTTCTCACTTACTGTGGGTCCTCACAATTTACATTTATTATATTTTTTTATTACAGAAATGTAATGCAAAAATAAAGTAAGGTATGCAGCTCTCTCTCTTCATAATGTGTATTGTGTCCTGGGGCATCAAAATTTATTTTGCACATATACACTGAAATACCATGGCATAGCTCTGAAAATAAATTGTTAAAATTAAAGCAAATCTAATAAAAAGCTCTTTATTATGTATAATATAAAATGTGCTACATTTCTTTCTTTTTCATTTTTCATTGTTGTAATAAAAATTAAGAAAAAAATTGTATTATTATTTTTCTATCAGGTGGGGATTGGAAGTTGAACGTCTCACTATTGCTTTTGAAAATTTACCTGGTGATGTTCTTCTAGCATCAGCTGTAATTGCCTATTTAGGAGTTTATACTGCAAGTTTTCGTAAAGAATGCATTAAGAATTGGATTTCTTTTTGCTTGGTAATTTTGATTTTTAATAAAAAATTATTTATATTTATAAAATCTGCTTTTATAATATAAAACTAATACTGTCACCATTTCTTTATCAGCTGAAAACTTTTGAAATTATTTTGAGAGAGAGGGAAAAAATTTAAACATTGCAGTAAAATAATACCATAAAACTTTTTGATCATAATTAACAATCTTGAAATATTCAAACTTATAATTTAAGAAATTATTTTCTCTTTACTCTTTACAATTCAGTTTATTGCTGATGATCTAAGACTAATAATATTCTGGAATTTCTATTTCTAAATTCTAGAATTTCAGTTTAAAATTCCATTTTAATAAATAAAACCAATGTAGTGCTTTCATTCACTTACATCTAAAAGCATCTAATATTACTTCCACTAGTATATTTTTACTACACTCAACAAGAAAATTATTAATGCAATTTAAAATACTTTCAACAATCACAGCACAATTAATGCAAATCTGACCACCTCAAGTTTCCAAACTACAATATATTTGTTGAAATTTTATCCTTCTTTATTGAATTCCAGGTTTTCAAAAGACACTTCTGTAGTAAAACACAAAAATAGATATAATTTAGTATGTGCTACTGGAACATTTGTCAAAATAAATTTAATAGTTAATAAAACTTTATTATTTCTAAAACTTCTTATGCATATACATTTTGTGCAGGCAGTTAAGTCAAGTTCATTACAAACTAAGATAGATAAAAGTCAAAAGAATATAATTATCTAAAATGCTTTTTAAATTTCATCATTAATGATTAAAAACTTTGGGAAATTACATATTTTTTGCACTTCTGACAGTGAGCTAAAAGGCCCAAAACGTCATGATTTGAAGATATTTGTTTAGTCTCCAACAAAGCAAAAAAGTATCAATGTAAACTTGTTAGTATAAATAAATCTGTACAGTTTTTGATTATTCTATATTTTTTCTTGAAAATTTGTTTATTTTTATTTCTTTGAGTGTCATTAAAGTTATTAATAATTAAGATTATCATTTGCAACAAATGATAAGCTGTAATTGATTCATCTGTCATCAATAGAGCATCTGTATCATTACATAGTTTGATTTGACTGATTATCTTTAATAATTTTTCCTGAAAAATCTATTCTTAAATTTTAAACTGAAATCTATTTTAAATTATCAGATGGTTATTGTTATCAGTTTAAGCAGAACACAAAGAGATTACTAGGGTCTGGAATCATGTTTCATGTTTTTTTTGCTGATATGTACAAAAGTCAAAATTCAATATTTGACATCTTTGTCAATAACTTAAATATGGAGGAATATGTAACATAAAATTATGCTAATTTTATGTTACATATTCCTCCATATTTTTCATTATTCCTGGCATCTTATCGGAATTAGGATGACTGATTTAAAGATATTAACTGTTGGACAGATTTAAAAAGTTAGTCAAACTGTAATTGGTAATTTAAGTATTTCTTCATATTTGATTTTTTAATAGTTTAACAATTATTATGCATTTATTTATTTAGGCGTAAGTTTATTCAAAATCTTTCATATTTAATAAATTTAAATATAGCAGCTGCCATACTTCCCATATATGGTTCAGAGAATTTTCAGACATGTTTTACTACAAATGAAGAAATAATTTTCTGTGTTTCTTACTAAAAAAGTACATACATTGAACATACATACTATTGTTTATCTATTGGTGGAAGTTTAAATTTAAATAATAAATTATTGATAAAACCAATAATCTGATTATTTGTTGGCTTATGCAATTTTTAATTAAACATTTTATGTATTTATTTAAACATTGGTTCAATAAATTTTATTAAAATTTATTTGTATTTATTTATGTGTTTATTAAAATTTATTGGTTCAATAAATTTTATTAAAATTTATTGAATCAATTGTTGTTTTTTCATCATTATTAATTTAAATTATTTCTCTTTTTGTGTTTCTTTTTGGGTTGCAATTTTAAAAATTGTAGACCTATAAATTTCCATTATCATCCATCTGTAATTCCTTAATCTCAAGAATGGATTTATATAGATGAAATCCAAGACTAGGTGTGGAAACCTTAGAGGCATGAGGCCCTGCTTAACTATATATAAATCTTTGATGTAACTGGAAGTCATGTTATTTCAATTAAAACTTTTTCTCTGAAAGCAGTTAATAGATGTACAGCATGACTCTATTGTTAAAGGAAAAGCATGATGTACAGGGGCAAGCCTATACTAACTTGAAGTGGAGAGCATATATTTTAAGTTAAATAAATTAAAAATGTGATTAAAAATTGCAGTCCGGCATTGTGATGATGTCACAAGAAATAATTGCTTGTTCCTTTTTTTAATGAATATATTTCAGTAGTTGATTACTAACAAGTTAACTTTTTCATAAATACTTTATACACAATTATTATAATTAAAGCAATATAGCAGAACAGCAGTTCATGAGCAAAACCTGACTCATCATCGGAGTCACCAAACTATTTTGACAAATGTCAGTCAAGTTAGCTACTTAGAATTATAGAATTTTTCATATCTGAATACAGGATAATGGAAATGTGAAGATTTATTTATAGAAAATAGTAGTAGTCAAGTGTTTTCTTGAGAGAACTTTCTTAAAAATAAAGAACAAAATAAAATTATTTTTGAAGTTTTTAGTTGTGTTATGGAACATCAGAATGAGAAACAAAATATGGAACATATGGTAACCTCCTCTGAATATATAAATTACTTCCAACTATGAATTCACAAAAACCATTGTATTATTACATATTTTATGATTTTCATTACATATTTACATACATATTTCAAGGATTTTTGTAACATGTAAATCCAGGGCCTAGTGGTTACATCAAAAGGCATCTACTGTAGATTATTAGGCATTACTATACTGAAATTTCAAGAGATATTGTAAATAATAGTTGCAGTTTATATATTTTAAACATAAAAAATTTAATCAGAAAAGATTTGACATAAGTATTCTTGCATATATTCATAATGTATAAGCAAATTTTTGTATACCTGTTAAGAACAACATATTTTAGTTAATTTATAATTTGCCTTGTTAGTTTTATTTATTATTAATATTAAATCATTATAGAATAATGAAAATAAAATATATTTTTATAGTTCATCATTTTTATTTAACAGAAATATGAAATTCCATGTTCAACAGAATTTTTTCTGAACAAAACTTTAGGAAATCCTTTAACAATTCAGAATTGGGAAATAGCTGGACTTCCACATGATAATTTTTCTATTGACAATGCAGTAATTGTTGATAAAACTAATCAATGGTTTGTATAATGTTACTGTGTTTTATTTTCAATTGATTCATATTTTTTAAAACAAAATAACAGTTACACAGTGCAATTATGGTCATGCTAGCAAGTTAGACTGTAAAACTACATTCCTGTTAACTAGAAAACTCTTCTGAAATATTACTTGAATACAAATTATGAGTGAAAACAAAAAAAATTGTTACTCTTGCATTAATTGCAAGCAAGCAGCCACTGAACAAATGATATGTCTATGTCATTGTGATTATTCAAAATGGCAGTAAATACAAATTATATTTTTGGAATCTATACCAGGGGTGGCCAACCTTTTTAGCAGGCGGGCCAAACTTTAGAAATAATATTTCCTGCCGGGCCACTCACTCACCTAATATTTTTTTTTGTTAATTAAAGTAAACAAGCAAGCGTGCTACAACTTCAACCACATCGTTGCTTTTCAGTAGCTGAGATCGTGGTCAAACACTTGCCTGGTTTAATGTAAAAAAACACAAAAAATAGGTATATTTATTTTTTTGAAGAAAATAAAACATAACCGAGAATCAAACATATTTATTAGACAATTTAAAAATATTTAAAAGTGAGACATATTTGTTTTACAGAACTAAGTGCATCAAAATTGATCTCGACTGATGTCGCTACACGCAAACAGTTTTCCAAATGAACATCAGTAATTCGTGTTCTGACTTGTGATTTGATGTACATGTACTTCATGAGACTAAAAAGTTGTTCACATGCATAAGTGTTTCCACATAGCGAAACCATCGATAGGGCATGTTTGTAAAACGCAGGATATTTATCCTTGTCCAAATACGTTTCATAGAACTCTTCCAAACCTTCTTAACTCTTCTAATGTTCATTTGGTGATATGAACAATAAAGTTAACATTTATGTTCATTTGACCTAGCTCCGCGGGCCGCAACACGACCCTTGGCGGGCCGCATGCGGCCACCCCTGATCTAGACTAATAACTAATATTTACTAATATAGACCTATTAATATATAAATATATATAATAATATGATTAGCTGATACACATAGTATACATCAGTTAATGTTAATAAAATTGCAGCATACCTCAGCTTTTTGGATACAAAGTGTCCAGGAAGTTGTATCAGCCTATTTTTTTGTTTTATAAAAGAGATATCAAGACATATGCCAGAATATACCTTATACTTCACTTGTTTAGAAAATCAGTATGAAGGTAATCATAATCACAGCAGAGTCTCATATGGCACCAAGTTGTAGAGATAATCTGATGTGAGAAGAGAAATTGCTCCTATTATTGCATTCTTCATTTTTCTGTTATCTAACTTAGTAGTCCTTTTGAATGGCTTTGGCTTTCCTTTTCATGAAGTCCCACAAGATGTTATATGGTACTGTTGACATCAGACAACACCTTATGGAACTAAATGGGACTGTGATGTTCCGTTAGAGGGCAATGTATTATTGCGAACAGGAAACAAATAAAACGAGTAAGAATACTAAAGATTTTTATTCTCAAACACAGGTTCTTTAAAATGATTCCAACTTACAGCCTATTGGGTTCGATATCCATAAGATAATCGTCTACACTAACAATTTTCTGTGGTGGCAACCGACATGTGACAACAGAAACAAAACACGTGGGGGCAACTTATAACTAAAACTTAACCTACTTACAAACTAAGGAAGGAGAAATAAAATATAGATAAGGGTAGGAGTAGAATAAAAGGGAAAATACCCGGGATTTTTCTCTACCACGTGGTCTCGGATGATTCATCGTCTTGAATCTTTGAATGGCTCCAGACCTTAATTTCTTTCCTTTTATGAACGTCTACGTTTTCTGGGGTTGTCTTGTGGTCTTCCTGCTTGTTGTTACTTGAATCTGGGGAGACTCGATGTCTTAGCAACAGTCCGACGTTACTCTATAATTCAGCTGTCTCTTACAAGGTTCTGACACCTCTGATCTCTCTCTAGGCGATCAAGGTGTGATCCTCCTTCGGCCTTCTTTCGCAAGGTTTTTTTCTCACTCCTTGCTCGACTCCTCGGTCAGGACTGCATCCGTTTCTCCGTCCTCTCCCAACTCAGTCCCAGTTTCTTCTCTTCTTCTTCCACTTTCTCTCTCCCCAGGGGCTTGTTGTTCCTTTTGTCTCTTGACATTGATTCACAGAATCGGTGATGTCACCCGAGGGAATAGGGATTAAGGGAGAAAGTTCTAGAACAGATAAGACAAAAGAACAAAGGAAATACTGAGCCTAGCTAAATTTAAAAAATATATATATATATAAACTATGGCCGACGGCCACAGGACATCAGCTTTTGCTATCTATGAGTGGGAGAGATCTGCAACATCTGTGGAAAAATATGTTACAGGATGACATAAGGTAAGGCATGCCTTTATGTCTGATTGCATTGCCAAATGTATCCACACAAAAGTCCTATACAGTACTAAAGGTTGCATTAAATTGTATCTTTGTTTCATGGACATTTTGCTATAATATTGTAATCAGTTATTACCACCATTATCATTATGTTTGCACTAATAAAGTTTATTCAGTTCCAATGCCTCCTCCTTGGTGTACAACTTCTTTTTAATGAGTGTATTTAATTTTACAAAATTTAATGTATTCCAAAGCATTTAAACTTTACTCAAAACACCGTTTAATTTTAAAGTTTAATTTTTTAGACCAACTGCTGGATGACTGAAGTGGTTAAGGTGTCAGACTACCATTATAAGATACCTCAGATTGAATCTGGGCAAACCATCTGAGGAATTTTTTATGAGAGGCATCATGGATATGTCAGACCTTGTCCCTCATCATCAAGCCATCCCATTATGGATGTGATTAAACCTATAATTTGTATGGAAAAAAAGGCCCTCTTAGTGCAGGCAGGACAGAAGGAGCCAAAAATGAAAAAAAAAATAATAATAATAATAATAATGTATATTAGACCTAAATTTATATAATTAAACTCTATTATTTTAAAAATGATAATATATGTATATAAATAAAAATATTTTGTATTAAATGCTTGAAATTACTGTTTTAGGTCACTCTTAATTGATCCTCAAGGACAAGCTCAAAATTGGATTAAAAATATGGAAAAAATAAGAAAACTTGAAATAGTAAAGTTTACCGATAAGAATTTATTCCAGTCTTTAGAAACATGTATTCAGTTTGGAATTCCTGTATTAATAGAAAATGCCACTGAAGAAATAGATTTTTCTTTTTATTCACTGTTACAAAAACAAACATTTACTCAAGGTAAATTTTTAATCTTTGATTAATTTTATATTTAATGAAATATACAGTTTGTTAAATAATATATATA